TCTCTCTCTCTCTCTCTCTCTCTCTCTCTCTCTCTCTCTCTCTCTCTCTCTCTCTCTCTCTCTCTCTCTCTCTCTCTCTCTTTCTTTCTCATCTTTACGCGCCCGATATCGCGAATGTCTCTACACGCTTTGTTCAATTACGTACACATGTAGTTATTGTTGTCTCATCCCTGTATTGTCGGTTCCTTACGCTGGTTAATTTCTCGATTTTCCTCGTTGCATGAAGGCGATGTCGGTAGAGATAGAGAAATAAAGTTGGGCTTATACAATCTATTATATGCTTTTAAAATTCGTCGTACGTACGATAATACGTATTTTTTTTTAATATATATATATCTATATATATATATTCACTTTTTCCGTATGTATATATCGTATGTATATATATGTATATATAAATTAAAGATTCGTCACGGGGCGTTGTGTACGCGACAATAAATAATACCACGCGCGCATTGCGCAGTCAGGATACTGAATTATTTATGTGACGTCAGTCTTGTGTGAGGTGGGATCGAAGCTCGCTACCGTTCGCTCTTTTAAATATCGTCACGTCGATCTCGCCGCGGCTTTTCTCCCCTCCTTCCATCTCTCTTTCGATGTCAAGCGCCGCGGCGCCTGACGTTCGTTCGAACGCGCGAATAATTGAAACGCCCGCTTATTCTATCAAGCTGGTAATTAATTATCTTTTTGAGCCGACGTAACGATTGTGCCATCGGATAAATATCTCATCCGACGTTCGATCGTTTTTTTTTCTTTCCTTCGCGCGTGTCTCTCCTGGATCGATAGCGAGCTCGATCTTGTTGCACATGCGCGCCGAACAGACCAAATCATTAACGTGACTCTTCCTGGAAATTCGCCCGCACGGCGTTGACGTGTGTGTACATTCCTCGTAGCGATTGCACATCGTTTACCTTCGCCATTCTGAGAGACCGACGGACGGAAGTGGCATTTCGCAACGTCACAAGTTACATTTCGTTCGCGAAATTCCGCTCCAAGTGTAGAGAAAACTTGGCAGTGTGTGCTGAAACGTGAAAGATGCTGAGACTTGATTTTTAGCGGATGATTCGGAAAAACTGCGAACGCGCTTCCGAGAGCATCGAGCAGTTACTTGCGTATTCTCGGTGCTGTCAGCTTTCGTGGCTGGTTTCGCGGACGAATCTCGGGAAGAGCCACTTCTGCGCGAGGTCACTTTACCGTCAAAATGATATGCCAATTTAATACAACTTCGATTACGCGATGCGCCTAATAGGAAATAGATCAAACCTCCCTAAAAGACCGTGTTCGAGGTCACGCAGGTATGCTCGAAAATTCATCGATGGCAGTGCTCGTCGAGAAGAGAGTGGTTTCACGACGGACGCGACCGCGCCGCGATCGCGTCGTTTTTTTTTCTCGCGCTAAACTCGAGGGGGAAAAATATCGTCGTTGTAACAAGCAGGATTACGATCCCTTTCGCCGCGCGGTCGCTCGCAGCGTTTACTCCGAAATATACAACGTGTTATTTTTGCTACCGGCCTTTACCTCGAAATTAACAACGCGCGTGTTCTCACGGTGTTCTGACGGCGCCAGCTCTGTTTCGCTCCGCTCCACACTCGCCTTCTTCCTCTCCAACGGGCGTAAAAATTGTGAAAACGCGCAGATGGCGCGGAATGTGTGGAATGATATGAAAGCGAGAGTATTATTTGTCAATTATGAGCTTTAGGATGCACGAAGTGTGATATTACAAAAGTTAATGAGTTACACCCGTTGGACGAGTAAGAGATGGAGCGAGATTTTTCGCTTGAAAGTGAACCGATGCCGGAGGGTTCACTCGATCACGCGGTTTCACTGCTTGCAGTAACGAAGAATCTATCATACCTTCGATCCATTCGCCTTCCATGAATATCCTGCAGGCTGTAAGAAGTTCTTACGCGTATCTGTGCAAGGAGTGCTCGCGGCGCTTACTTCCTCTGCGCTCGCAAACTGGTTCCGGACTCGGTGGATTCGAGTACGTCAGATTGCTGGAGCCCCGAGGGGGTGGCGCGCTCATAGGGGGCGGAGGCGGCGGGAAAAAGCTCTGCAAGCACGCCTAATGCATCGGAAAAGCACATGAAATGTTGACGCCTTCGTGTCCGATGAGCGTTTCGTATAATCAGAGATAAAATATTTTCGCGCTCCAAAAATATCTCAAGTGAAAGAGCGCAGTTTCTGCTTTTAATTTATTAGATTTTTAATAATTACGACGAGAGTGTTATATTATTTTTTCTTTGAAAAAATTCAATAAAAAATGAAAGACTCAAGTTGTATTATATTAAACAGATATAAAGGGTTAAAGAAAGATTTTAATTTATCTCAATGCAATCGAGAAATATTTTGTATCTTACCTTTGCGCTGCCCCTGGAGGACGATTTTGAGAACACGCTATCCTGATCGCTGCTTACACTAGGCACGGGCATTGGTACTGCATAGTCATAAGTGGCATCTGTACAGCAAAAAAGTATTTTCTCTTACTTTATAATGCGAAATATTTATTACTGCGCATCGTTTGACAAAAACTCAACGCGTCTCAAAACAAGCTTCTTTATTCAATAAAACTTTGCATGTTCTATGTTGATTAGCTCATAAAGAAATCCTATCACAAGAACTATTTGTATAAGAAAATCTGTGTTTTGCGCAAAGGCCATAAAATATTTCACGGACCTAGAAGTATTTAATCGAATCGCGTCGAGCGATTGATAAATCGATATTTTGTCAAGCAGCGTGTTTACTAAATTTGACCATAATAATTTATACGAAATTTGTGGTTGAACACAAATTGCATATTGATGCAACGAGTTATTAAACTAAGTAACGCGGCACAGTCCGACGGTTGTTTAGCTGCTTCGTGTTTGTATTCCAAAGCATTACGGACGCGCTGAAGAAGTTCAAGGAGCTTGACTCACCAGACTGTTCGACGTTGTCGTGGAGATCCTTGTTGTCTATAACAACCGTGCTGTATCCGTAGTACGCCGCATGAGGAGAGGCCCGATACTTGTTCTCGTGGAAGGGTTCCTGGTATTCGTCGAGTCTGACATCGCCCAAAAGACGATCATTGAGCTCGCGCGGCAGGGTCGTGAGCTTCGTGCCGGCGTACCGGTCGTCGAGTTCCTCGACTCTGTAGGTCATCAAGGAGGGGTCCTTCTCCGTGGTGCCGTACGCGGATTCCGGCGACAGATGCTGATGATTGCCCGACGGGATCGCACTCTTGGTGCCCAGAGGACTGGCAAAGTTCTTTCGCTGTCTGTGACGCGTGACTATTAGGAATATGACGACCGCCATCAGCAGAATTACAACGGTCAAGACGCCGACGATCACAGCCATGTAAGTCGAATCGTCCTGCTTAGCCACCGGAACTTCGGCCAGCAAGGGATTGTTGTCTCGGGTGAAAACTTTCTCCCGATTTTGCGGAGTTTCGGTCGTGCGCGGTACTTCTGGGGTAAAGTTGCCGTGAGCAATGTCTGTAACATGATAGAAACACGTGCTTCTGGATACGGCAGATTTTCGTACTAATTGTCACCGTCATAGAAAAGCGACAATTACGATAAGTTATGTAAATTCGCATTTTTACGCAAATTATAAATGCAGATGATATTGATCAATATCTCTTTCTGAAATGATAGAGCAAAAATAATATGTAATTTTGTTATTCCTTCTTTTATATCGCCAATCATCGGAAAAAAGTTCTGAACATTACGATCTTCCCAGAGAAATCGCCTCTGGTTACGTGCGATTTGATAGGCGTGTCATCGCGATTACGAACTTTCCCTTCGAACTGCGAAGGCAAATCGTGGAAGTGAGGAAAATTGCCGAAGCCGTGCGTTACTACTCACCGGAGTCAAAGGTGATCTCGCTGATCATAATCCATCGCGAGGCGAAGCTGAATCTCAGCTTGACGAACTTGCCGATCCGATGGTGCAGCTTGATCGTGATATTTCTCGAGTACTCGAAGATCCTGTCCTCCATGTAAGAGTACACGATCGGATCACCCGTGTAGTACCTGCCGCCGATGCTGAACATGACGGCAACCTCGGAAAATACCTGAGACGTAGAAAAAAAAAAAAAAACGAAATACAAAACGTGCTCGCACAAATGTATTGCCGTGAAGCGTTTTGCTACGAGGATCGCTATTCCGCGCTATCGAGCTTGATTACCGCAGACAATTCGATCCATCGGATAAAGCGTTATGTGTTCAGAGCTACCATGCGGAATTAATTTGATCGGAAGCATACCACAGGTACTCGATTACTCCCGCGTAATCAGTATTATCGCCGTTATTACCATCGGTAACAGATAACTAGTTAACGGCGCATCGGGATGACATCGACGGTTTCGATAATACGACGTATCTCACGGGCGCGTTCCGAGCGAGCGAGGACGCGTGGAATGCTAATTTCATCCCTCGAAGGCGCAAGACAATTCGGCGTAGGGAATCCAAGGCGAGAGCCATGTGAAGCGGGCGAAAGACGGAGAGAGAGAGAGAGAGAGAGAGAGAGAGGGAGAGAGAGAGAGAGGGAGAGGAAGAGAGAGAGCGCGCGCGCAAGAGAGAACCGTAGCACAGAACTAAGACAGCGTAGGAGTTAGGCATGAAGATTACAAAGCCGAGATTATCTAACTCCCTTAGACCCAAAGACGGGGGCGTATGGATTTTCGACGTACTGAAGCCTACCGCCCGCGGATGCGTTAGGAGAATGAGGAAGTCGACGCGGAGGAAGCGGCAGCCGCGAAGCCGTGAAGAGAAGGCGTTGCGGGGCGGTTGGTAGGTAGTTGGCGATGCTTTGAAGCGCTGTCTTTCGAGAGACGTGTCCTATCCGCACGAGCGAGCGAGCGAGCGAGCGCGCGCGCGCGCTTGTTAATAGGAGAGGTCGTTTAGAGGTAGCTTCTGCCACTCCACAGCCCCATTCGCCGAACTGCCGACTTGCCAGACTGTCGGTATTGTATTTGAATACGTGGCGTATCTATTCTCTCTCTCTCTCGATCGTTGCTTGCTGCCATTGTACGACACGGGGGGAGAAGGAGAGAGAGAGAGAGAGTTCTTGATACCCGTCTCCGTCCAATTCCCTCGGGTCTTCACTACTCTCTCCTTTCGTCTCCGTTCCGTGAAAGCCTCCCCGCTGCTCTTCCCCTTCGCAAATCGCCGCGGCTGTATTCTCAGCCTCGACTGCCGGTTCGTTGCCGGTTTTGCCCCATGGTTCTTCAGCGCGCTCGATCGTGGGCGTACAATCGGTCTCGAGCCGGGTAATGAGGCGCTCCATTCAGATAAATCTTGATACCGGTAGAAGGGTGTTTCGCGGCCCATTATATGGGGATTCCCGCACGATGGGGCGCAAAATCTTCGCGGATAACTGGCGCGCGTATTAAGTTTCGTAACTTTCGCGGCAAGGAAGTTGCGTGACTGTTGACACTGCGTATATTAACTGCCTTCATCCGCACGAGCCTATGTAATTGCGAATTTGCACAGCGTAATTTAATTAGCTTGTTAATTTTTTCACATTCTCTTTCTTATTAAATTCATTTCGAGTCATTTTTCAGACGCAAAAAATTAACCGTAAGCGATACTTGGTCGTTAAATCCGTAATGTTTCGGTCTGAATGGAGTGAGATAAGTATTTCGATACATTTCCTTGGATTTACACCCGCCGCTGTGGGTAGCGGGCCGTCTGGCTGGAATAAATCTCGATACCGGCAACCGAAGCCTTATCTCGCTTAAGGTGTAGGTAGATGTTGATTCTAAACTAGGCATTCTTTTTTTCGGCGTTACACCCAACGTCTAATTAATTCCAATAATTTACTATCGGCCGGCGCAAAGGAACGGTATAATTTACTTATCAAAGTGACCCGACAAGTGCTGCGACTCACAAATTATTTTCAATTGGCCCCGTTTAGTTTTTATCAGCGCGGCCGGAAAGCTTTCTTGGAATTACGCTCCGCTATCTCGAGTATCTAAGTGCCGAATTATTTTATTAAACTCGCTACCGTTACAGCCGAGTGTTCAGCGAGCCATTATGTAAACACTCAGGCGTAAAAAGACCGTGGGGGCGAAAAATTTTCACGGAAAAACTGACGTCTCCTGGCAAAAGCCACCGCCGCCGCGCCGCCGCTTGAAGTGAAACGCAACCCGCGCGAGGTCGTTTCCTTTTTCTCCTTCCGTCCGTTTCAGCCAAACCCAGGGGCTAACCGTTGTTGCGCCTCGTTACCCATCCTACGTCCGACCTTGACTCCAACGTGAAAACTGGATTTCATGCCGTACTCCTCAACCCCACAGTTTCTTTCCACTTTTTTTTTATTCTCCGGGTGTGGATTAAAGGCTGGCGGAGGATCTTCGCGCACATTTCGTGCGTGTGTATGTGTGCGCCGCGACTGTCCATCTTGCCTTTTTGCGTCTTTTTCCCCGTCCTCTGCCAGCCGCCTGCTTTATTCAGCAGCGTTTCGTTCTCACCGGCAAGTCACTGCCACGAGGCATTCCAATTTCCTTTCCATACCGTACGCGTATCCGTTTATAGTTTTTCTCGCTTATTATCGTGCAAATACGGTCGTCACGGTTATCTCGCTAGTCGGACTTTATAGTGAGATATGACAAATGAACGCACGGAGTTGAAGACAGATATCTCGAGATATCTCGAGATACACCATCAATCACAAATCAATTTTAAGCACACTTTTTGGTATTTTTAAAGTCATCAAAATGCGTGAAAAAAACTTATGCGAGCAAAATATTATGTTCACATAAAAATTTAGGTCTATACTTGTTAGATTGATTCGTGCGCGTGATGGATTTGTAAATGAATCTTTTTCTTTACAGTAAAACGTGAAATATTAGACGAATCTTACCTGCACGTCCTTGGTGAACTGATTGTTGCAGTAGATGTGAACAGCCGAGAATTCCCGGACGTCATCGAATTCGAATTTGATCTCGAGCGGATGTCCGGATCGTGTGTCATTCTTCCAGCCGACCCATCCCTGATTTCTGTCCAAGCTGTCGTAAAAGCACGTCTTGAAGGTGTCCGGTCCCTTCATGCCGTCGGTCAGTTGCCCCAAACCACGGACGAGTTGTCCGTCCCAATGACCATCGTAAGTCGTGTCGAAGAACTCGCAACTGTTGCGCTTGTCACCTTGCGGCATCGAGTAGGAGACGATGCCGTCCTTCCACGGGCAGCCGTATATTTCGACGCGCATGCAAACAGTGCGACGATGGTAGCTGTAGGGTACGAAACGAATTTTGCTCGCCCAGAGCGGTGATTTCAATTCGTGCTTCGACTCCAGATAGGTGTTGCTGTTACCTTGAATGACCTGCACAAACGAAATATTGGAAATTGGCTTCAAGATTTTCGAGAAAAGTATTTAAGCTGCGTTAATTTTTTCTAAATATCTGACAAGTTGAATATCGAAACGCATAATGGAGAATCATATTGATTTGCAGACGTGCAAACCGTTTCCGAGATATCATTCGTAGGCGACATATATAGATATGTATAACAAATTGTGATTGGCAGAACGAAATATAATATGATGCGTTTAAATGATACCATTCATGCTGTACGTCGTGTTCACTTATCAGCTAATAGATAGACACAAGATACCGTTCCGCGACGTCGGCCTGACGCACAAGATGAATCAGCGTCCGTGCAACATCTTGACTCTTGCCTCATTTACGGACATTCAGCCGGCGCGATAGCAAAATTTTTCGCCGGCCCGCAATATAAATTGCGCCACGCCGCGCAACGTAGTATTTCTGCGCAGCGTGATTTCAGGCTTGGCGCGCGCTCTCTCACATAGAACAAGGCTCGTTCTATTCGATCGGTCGACCACGAGCGACGGTCGAAACGTATATATCGTCGGCGAGGATCGGGAATTTCTCGGACGGCGTCGTCGAGGGAAGAGGCCCTTCCGAACAAAGGACCTCTTACTTTCCACTTATGAGCTCGCCGGCGCCTCTCGACTCTCGCTCGCGCGGAGATTCTCACGTATGGCCGGTTACGTGACCGTGTAACCATCACCGCATTGTGATCCCGACAGGTGCGAAACAGTTCTTTATTTTACCCTTTACACGCTTATTTTTTCTTCCCTATTGTACCCGTAGACATTAACTGACGTTCGTTGGATCACGGTTCTACGGCATCGTGATTTTAATCAATTTAATACGCTTAACTGATTCTACACGCAATACGCGTCACGATTAAATTTAATTACAGGCAATCATCTTGCTGTAAGCAAATATTTATAGATAACTCCTTGAAGCAATTCCGTGGAACTGACTTGTGCGGTCGTCAAAGTAGGCGCGATACATGTTACTTGATGAATGAAACATGTCTAAAGCGTTCAATTTTTTAACAGCTGAATCAAATTTTCTATTACAATATGCATAATCATCCGTAATATTCGATAACAAACCGTTCGAGTAGCTTTACATTCATGTTTTATTTACATTTTTATTTTTTTCTGTTTACTATAGAAATAAATTCACAATTGCGATGGGAAACGTGTTTAGAGATGATTCTCGCGACCGCGCGAACTGGCACGTTCCGCGCTGGATGGCGCGATAATTGGGGCCGGTAGCTGACACCGTTTTATTTGCGCCGCGACACGGTACCTGATGTTTAGCACATTGAAACGGACGATACTAAGGCGCCGGACGGGCAAATACAATGAACCGACACGTGAGAAATTTTCTGCGACGGAACCGCATCGTGGGCGTTTCCGGAGACTGACAGTTACGTGTGTAGCTTTGCAGAGTGTGCGTAATAGCATCCTGTTTCTCCTCAAATGTGTGAAGAGCACGAGCGACTTTTGCACATTGGAAAACGGTTATGTTAATGAGATTAAAATTTACCATGAATATTTAAATATTAAAAATTAAATATTAACGAAAAGAAGAATATACAGACTACATTTTTTTCTAAATTATGCTATTCTTTTGCATATTTAAAGAAATTTTCCTTTGAAGTATTCAGCTTTGTTAAAAAATATATTAAATATCTTGTGTATCGCGATTTATATGTAGGGACTTGGTAGAAACGACAGCGAAATAATTAATAAAAGTATAAGTATATTTTAGAATAATTACAAGGATGTGTTCACTAGCCGACGGACGAACGAGAACTCTGTCTCCGTGGCTCGCATCGGCGGTCAGCCTCATGTTTTTCGCTAAGTCATTTAGCTCGTCTTTCGTATCGAGAGGCGTTTATTGTTTATCAACTGTCTTATATCGGCTAATGTTTTGAAACGCCGATGTCTCGCTCGACCTAACCGTCTCGTTTTCTAACATTCGCAAATGTGATATTTTACTTCTACATATATATCACGCATTCTTATTTTTATATCTCAAATTTCCCATACTCGTGTGTCGTGACGCCACGCGACGCGACTGACTGACTGCGTTATCGAATCTTTTTACGAAGATGACTCACGATTCGGCGGTCGGTTCGCATACAGTTTCCGATGCCCAGTGCGGCGAATCTTGATTCTCGAAAGTCCCGCGGCACCGAGCGAGGAGACCAAATTACGACGGCATTTACGAGCCGTTGAGATGTACGCCAAGAAAAATAAGTAATCTTGATATTTATCTTCGCACCCACGCGCGTCGCAGCGACCGACCCGAGTAGAGCGGTCTGCTTTGTCGTGAAAGACTTTCCTTAAGCATCGCCGCGCCGAGGCGAACGATCGTCTCTCAAATTATTCCTCGACCGCGGTTTCTTCGTCATTTTTTGTCGTAGGCGAATTCCAACGGGCGGCTGGAAATGGTCGAAGGCGTGGTGGGGAACCAACGCCCATTTTATGTTAATGGTTGGTATGCGTTGCTCTTGGATCAGTCGCGGTAAGCCGCTACCGTTGGTAGGTGAACGTTTTAGAGGCGGCGTTGATGGCTGTGTGTCGTCGGGGAAGATCATGAGGAAAAAGACATCTTGCGGCTTAATTTAAATGGGAACGCCCGATGGGTGGTGCCGGGGCGATTATGCGGATTTATATATATATGTATTACTGTGATTCGTGCCGATGCCTATTAATACCGTAGATTGAAGAATGCATAAATAATAATGTATGATTTACACTTTTATTCGGGTTATTCGAGAGAATTATTTTATTTTACGACTAATTTTAATAATTGTCGCATCTCCAAGATCATCGGTCGTAAATTATAGGCGATGACAGCCGTGTGGTTTCTGCCGTCGACATCGTCCGCATCGGGTTGTTACGAAAGATTATGCCTCGGATAAGCCGAGTGTCTTTGTGTAATTAAGCGAGGGACAGCGCACAGCGGGGGAAAAGACACAAATTTCTGCAGGTTTGTCCCATTGGTGTTTTCTGGGTGGCCTCTTCCATTCGAACAGATACTTGTATCGCGCTACGAGCGAATTGTACGCGATATGCAAATGTCGCAAAATGAAGGATATTTTTCAGGCACTGTCTCTTTTTTCTATCAAGAGGCTATATATTACTTAAGTCGTTGGCAAAATGTAAATGCTATGTAAACCAGTAAAAATTCTCATGCATAGAATAAAAATTTCATAATAAAATAACTAAGTCTTTTAGGTACTTTCATCATCTTTTTTTGTGTCACAAAATGTCTTCACATTATTGTAATGATTCTTTACGCTTCTATAAAAAAATTGTAAGACTTATGATTTTGGTTATAAAATATTTTTCGCGTATTTCAAAACGAAATTTGCATCAAGTACTTTTAATATTTTGCTATGTATCTCAAAATACTATTTTATTCATAATCAAAACATGAATATCAGTACATGCTGGTACCAGCATAATTTTTAATGACTAGTTTTACATTACACTATTATCAGACATAAATATTAATGCGCTGGGACAAATTTAAGAAGTTGCGATATCATTTCATGCGCAATATTTTCAATATCTCGTACGCGATGGTACCTTAAAGTGTATTTGCTCGTTCGTTCTGAAGAGTATGCGGACGGAAATGTCGGAGATATACGTAGCCTCCGCGTGTCAGGGAAAATATAGATACGCAAAGGCAAGTCGCAATTCGCAGCTGCATGCAAATGCAGCTCGAGGCCACGTTCCTTCAGGTTCGACCTTCGTCAGATGTGTGCGCCACCGAAGAATTCGCGTATTCAGGCAAGTATGCCTATGTAGGTGAGCTGGAATCGTCTGACCCGCGTGCACACTTCTCCCTTCCCGCATTTTATTGATCCGCCCTCCCATACAAATAAGCTCGTAGCCGGTCTGATAACTCTCAAGGAAAGTTACCTCAAGGCGCTCGCACTCTCTTTCTTTTTGTCGGTTTCGGAAATCGATGACATTCCGGCGCGAGTTGTCACACACTCGAGGTGTGTTTTGCGCGAGTTAAAACGCGAGCCAAAACGCGAACCAGACATGCGTTAAATGAGCACGTGCCGCGCGCTGACATGAGTAATTTTACGAGGCGCCCAGACGTTTCCTTAATTTCGACGCACGGCACGCCGGTTGGCTTGGCGAATTACGCAAAGATTTACGGATTGTTCGAACGTACGTTCCGGCTATCTCGCTCGGCTCTTACCGTTTTCGTAAATCGCCGAAATTCACACAACTGCGAAGCTTATTTTCGCCGAGCGAGTAAATCGTCGGTAATATGTGATTACTGCGGGTGACGCTAATTAAAGAGACTCGGGTTCACGGTTACCGGTATATGTGTATAAATTGCATCACGCGCAAGCTCTCCAGCGCGGCGTATTACATTGGAGATTTACGTCTTGTTAACGTCACGCTTTAGTTACTGCCCGCGGTCGCTCGGCGGACCCGCGGACACTGCTACAAATCATTCTCAATAATCCGCGCGCGCTCGACTTTATGCGTATTGCCCGCGCGACTAAATTTAACCGCGTGACTTCGCCGGTAACCTACGCCTCGCGCACAGCGGAATCGCCGTGACCGCTGTATCGAATGAAATCGCCCGGCCAGAGTGTCTTTCTACACCGCGCTGCTCGATCCGCTCGATTAAATCGATCGTGGCAAATCGCGGCAGTCGGGTATCTGGGGCAGCGTATTATGCATA